AATTATTGTACAAACATTTGACAGAATAAACAGAAACGTCACTTAGAAACTAAAAACGTTCCGATACACGGATCAAAATAAAACGAGTTACAAAAAAAAAGCTGTTTTTACATCTAAATAATAATTACTAGCTGTTATTATTTTTTATTGCACTTTTTTTAATATTAAGATGAGGCAATAGTTAATCGATTATTTACGGAAGTCTATTAAATGCATAGATAATAAATCTGTAGATGGAGAGATATTCAAGTTTGACATTTCATATAATCGACTTTCGAAATATTGTATTAATAACATTGAGGCATTTTACCCCAACAAAGAGGCTTATTTAGCCTCATTAATGCCCCGGATTAGGTATTTGTAGAATATATATCTGTAAAAAATTATGAATGAACATATTTCATTACATGTTTTTATATCAATTCCGTTAATCCGATTGTAAAAAATATATTAAGAAAACATAGAACACTGTTTTTTTTCATATACTGAAATAAAGTTCTAGCTAAAGTATGTTTTTTTTTAAATAAAAATGCTTAACGTTTAAAATTATGGCAGATTCGTAATAAATTAGGGTTGCCATAAATAAAATATGTGTGAAAAAAAGACTCAAAAAAGAAAGCCATAAAAACACGTAAAATAAAATAATGTTTTCAATAATATTGCTAGTGTTAAAATAAAATTTGAAAAAAAAAATTGTATAAATTTGAAAACTCCCAACCGATGCAATATGGCACCAATAATAAATAAAATATATACTTAAAAATTATAATACTGTAATACAATACATATATGTTAACATCCATACATACAAGAACATGAAAAACATAGATTTTAACAATGTGTTTCGAAAACATCAAATTAAAAATACCTATTTGACTTTAAAGGCATGTCCCACCTAATTATAATTTATCTGATAACAATAGAACGCATAAAACATGCGATGGAAATAAATTTTGTTCCCTTATCTGATAATGACGTCATTTTAAGCTATCTGAGCCTCTATCAGCCAGTAGTGGGACAGGCCCTTAATATTAGGTTTAAAAAAATAGCAATAATTAAATAAATGTAAAGCTACAATATATATTTTAATACATATTTCGATTCATTAAAATAAAAGATATAATTGTCGTAAAAATGATACAGGATGTTCCAAAATATTGTAGAAAAAATCAACATAAAAAAGTTCAAACCAATCATTTCAACATAAACGTACAATTGTCTAACGAGTTGCCATTATCGAAAAACTTGTAATAAAAGTTGCCATATCTCATTCTTTACCAAAAACAAGAGATATTTCAGAACAATTTTTCCGCATTATATACATCTTTTATACTTAATTTCAACCTTATTTTAATTCAATAAAGTTTAAAATGCTACAACAGCTATGCAATATATTAACGAGATATGTTTATAAAACTACGTCTATATTACGATATAGTTCTACAAAATAATCTGACCCGGTGGAAACCAATATTACTACAAGTACACAACAGTTCAGTTTTAACTGAATAGTTAAACTGTTCTTGTAATTAGATTTTAACTATCAATTGAACTGTCAAATTAAAACTGTTAGAAATGACAAGAAGTGGGATTTAGACATAAAAATTGACAAAAGCTTGACAGCTATATCTTGACAATTTGTCATGAGTCAACAAGCTGTCAAATATAGTGTAATCTTTCCGCCGGGTCTAATAACAGTATATAAACAATTTGACTACTGACGTCAGCAACTGTGTTGCCAGCTGAGGACAGATAATGGATAATACACTAAACTTTTTTATATGGCAATTAATTATTGAACTGTCATATCATTACCTACATATATAATCTATATTTTAGATAAATATTAAGATCAGCTAGGATAAAAAACGTAAAAAAAGCTATTAAAAAATTAACAAGATGTATTTTTATCAATATTATGAAGTTTTGGGTATTAAAATACTTTTTTTATTATGTTTAATAAAATTGTTATTTTTATCTCCTTGGCTCTTTATGTGGACATTATATAGAGAACATATTTTTATATTTTTGGTACAGATACAAGATAAAAGCTGATTAATATGATTCTATTTTAAACGTTTAAAAATAACTACTTTTGTCAGTAAAAGACGAAGATTTTTTTTTACGAAATATGAATTACTTAATTTTAATATAGGTATAATTACCTTTTTAAAGAGTTATTTTATAAATTATTATAATTGAAATAACGTTAAAATGATATTTTCAATGATTTAAAGATATCGTATCATATTAAAAAAATGTATAATATAATAAAGGCGGTATACCTTAGGTTTAAATTTCATCTAGGTTATCAATTATTCTAACACCATAAAAAGGGCGTTTTCGATACATACGAAAAGAATTTTCGATTCAAAAATAACTAATTCAACATTTAGAAGTCGTTTTAATTTTATAAACAAAAATTAACACAACATAATTACAATAATGACTTTTTGAAGGCAACACTCAACTGACAGCTGTCAAATTGACATACGTTCGAAAACCGCGCCTTTAAAAAATGATAATTTATTTTAACGTTTGCATTTTAATATAATTGTTTAAATTAATAAAAAAATCTATTTAATATTAAACTAGTATTGATAATGCATTGGATGTATGTAAATATCATCTAGATCTAATCTGTTTCTAATAAAATTAGTGTTGCCATGATATATGTCATGTTAACAATATTTAAATCTTACAAGTTAAAGTAATTCTATATTTAGTCGACTTAGAATGCTTAAAATATTTATTTAAGTAAATATCCAGGCTGGTGTTACCATCGCATTGGAATTTAGTTAATAATACAACTAAAGACCGGAGATTCTCATAATTATTCCATGTGTATTTCACCCTATATTATATAAAACAATTCGAAGTATAAGTACAGAGAAGGAACGCAGGTTCCTATCACAGCGAGTCCGCAATACAAACAAATCACATTTAAACAAATATTAACTAGTAAATAGCAACGCGTCGCCATTTTCAATTACTTCTAATGATAATTTTAATGGTAAATCGGCCATTTGACATATTAGTATAATATCTTTCATTTTGTGAGTATAGTGGTCGGTAAACTGCGGCTTCAGAGCCATATTTGGCTCTTTAGCTCTTGCTCTTTCCAAGGAGATGCAAACACATTGCTTACACTCATGAATATTGATTAACTATTGTTTGTAAGCGACTCCGTTCGCGTGGAATTAAAAAAACAAAGTACCCTATGTTCTTTCTAGGGTTCAGCTTTATTCTACAAATTCTAACAAACATCTATCCAACTAAACTTTCGCATTTATAATATTAGTATGATTATGATATTTTGTTTTGTTTAATGTAAAAAAAAAAATAAGAAATAGATATAATGTTTATATTTGGCTCTTTGGCTAAGTTTTCCGACCTCTGTATTAGTAGAATAGCGTTTGTGTCGGCCATCTTGTTACGCACAGCGTCACTAGACACGCTAGTAATACGGTTTGTGTCAACCATTCTGTGGCATTACAGTGGCAAGCCATTGGCATACCA